GTCTCAGTAATGATTAAATAATAAGTGTCAGCCAGAACATCCAGTGTGTTAGTTTTTCATTAAAAGTTAATTAAAAGACTGCAAAATAATCTGTAACGAGCCACAAGTTGAATCAAACAACTCGTTTGTTGCATCAAACCAAATAAAACTGCTTGAGTCTAAATGAACCACCGAACTGAAGACCATCAGAGTCACCATGTGACGATGGTGTGTTCACGAAATCATGGTCTAGTTAGATTGCATCTTGAATTAGAGAAAACATTTTAAAAAGCAACAAGTGATTTGAATTTACCATCTCAAATGTTAAACCCCTCACGGGTCACTTACAGGTCACTGCTCTGTATGTGGCCTCTGACCTCTGACCTTCCTTGTGAAGGATTATTTAGAGGCAAAATATTTTTGTAACTTTATACAGCTGTTTATAACAAATCTAATACACCGTGGCATTTCTCAATTAAATCTTTTACCTGCATAAAATACAGAGCTGAATTTAAACTGGAAGCTTTAAAACCTTTTTTCTCTCATCTTCAACTTCTAGGAGTGTTCGCTTGATTCTGACAAAAAGCACAAACCCTTTTCCACAGAGCAAACACTTCTCCCACTAACAAGACTTTGTAACAATTAGTTCAAGTGTTCTTGATTGAGCTATTTGTAATCAGCAGTCTTTCACTTGCAGCTAATTAATTAAATTAATTTTTAAAAGTTTTTATGACCAAACACTGTTAAAGGCACCAATAACTTGTTTATTGTTTGTTTTGTCTACCTTCTGGGCCCATGCATGAGAGACTTAATAACCCTAATCAGACAACTCTTTGTAAAATTTGATTGAACTAATGAAAAGACGCATCAGAAATGCAACAGACATTTCTAGTACAAATTATGTTTTTTTATTTGAAAATGGCTCCACTTCTCTGTGTAATCAGCCAAGTGGAGTCCTTGGGGTCGGTGGGGGACGTGTTCAGTTACCTGTGATGGAGGTCGCAGGATCAGAAGGAGGACCTGTGTAAGGAGCTCGGTGACGGTGCAGTGTACTGGACGGCCTGTCGAAACACAGAAATGTGGGAAGAGTCCATGCCCAGGTTGGATACAGTGTATGATACAAATGTATTTATCTTGTGAATGGTGTGTTTATCAACTATGCTCACATCTGATTTTCCACCAACAGCCAAATGTCAGCTTGCGTGCACAGATGGTCGTCCCAGCGATGACTGCAGCCGCTGTGTGTGTGTCGGCCATGTGCTACATGGAGACGTTCACACTGTGACAGGGGCCCCTGTGGCAGGAGTGTATGTGGCTCTTGACAGCCAGCCCAAGGTCATCCTCGCTCGCACTGACACCAAAGGTCAGTTCAAGCTCACAGGCGTCTGCTCCTCCAGCTCCACCTTGATCGCCATCAGGAAGGAGAAGTTTGTTCCGATCACCGTCTCCACCTTCAGTAACACCACAGGGTTATCCTGGGTCCGGGCCGTCCTCAAATCAGCTGGTAAGTGCCGATCAGTACAAGTACAGTTATTAAGTATAGTTGGTTTATTATTGGTATGGAAATGATTTTGATTTGATTTTGATTATTATTCTGATTATTATTATTAGCATTCCACACAGCTAGTAAATGACAATCTTAGACTGTATAAATTGATAACACTTATATAGAAAAATGTTGGCCTATTTAAAGACTTCACCCTGTCTGCACATGGTACGTTGCATGGAAACCAAATAAAATAGACCTGTGCTGCTTTTGAAATCATTTTTTTTCAGACTGATGTGACAATAAAGTGTAATGTTTGACTGAGTTTTATGAGCCCCCAATCCTCTGGAGCACCATGTGTAACAGTCAGAATGAGGTCTTGAGGGTTCGCTCCATTCTGCTTTCCACAGAGAAGCCGTACATTGTGAAGCACCCAGAGGACAAAGTGCGTTACGAGGGGGGACGGGTGATGTTTTGCTGCAAGGCAACAGGATCACCAGTACCTGACAAATACTACTGGTGAGATGAATACCTTTGTCGGCACATTATTCATCACAGCACAGAAATAGCTAGAATCAGGGAGATTGCTTCACCATATGGTGGAATTTATATGAGGGAAAAATGTAAAATAAAGCTCCCTCATCAAGACACTTTTTTTATTATTGAGGCAGTTACTTGAAATTCTGTTTCGGTGTCCATGGAGGTCCAGAAAAACAGCTGTCTCTCTAACTACTGAATATTTTACAAGCTTTGGTAGCTTACTCCCTTAAGCCATTTAGGTTTATCAAAGCTTTTCTCTGAAAACTGCCTGTGTGACTAGAAATACATTTTATACATTGAGGTTTTATTGATTTGTCATTTTTGTTTTATTTCTTCAACATTGTATTTGAATGTTGGTTCTATGATTTATCATTTCATTCTTTTGCTGGGCTCAGAATTTACTTCTGTGCTTCATACTCTGTGATGTATTTTGAGTATGTGTGTATTTTCTCCTTGTCTATGTTTGGGTGAGCTTGCCAAAACAAATTCTAATCACCTCTGTTGATATATCAATAAAGTATTAAGTTATAAAGTTAAAAGTTATAAAGTCAAAGATTGAGTTTTGTTAATATCCTCCCTCCTGTCACGTCACACTTCCTTGACCTGACATACACTTGAAGTGAGGGTCTGGTTCAATTCAGGTCCAGATGGACTGAAAAAAACTCAATGCCTGCTATTACTTTATTCCAATGTGGTTTCAATACAATATTATGGCTGGATCAAGAAAATTGATACCAAGTCCTATGACTATAAATATTAGACATACGTATATAAGACAGATTTAAGAAATGAAAAGTCTGAAATCTCAGAACTAATGAGGTGATATTTGTCACAATATACAACAGGCACCAAGAGGACTGTTCCTGTGTCCAGAAGAAGATCTAATGTGAGATCTAATGGATTATTTTTGGAATTGATCCTGGTAATGCTGAATAAGCATGTATAGTCTCCCATCAGTGACCCTCTCTTTCTGATGACTATGCACTGAAACCATTATCTGTGTAACTTGTAGAGGATTCTGTAATTATAACAGTCTTCCTATTGAATTGCCATTTATTACCTCCGCCTAATTTGTTTGTTAGCTATGTGCAAGAACCACTCAATTGATTTCCATGAAAGTTTTGGAGGGTTGGGCCATGACCCAAGGATGAACACATTACATTTTGAGGCAGATCCAGGATTTGTTCCTTTACTTTCTCTATTATTGCGAGACAAAGGATAATTCATGGATCTTGATAAAACAAACCAGGCATGTTAATGAGACTGAGAATTATGAGTGTGTGCAAGGAAAATCCAGATCTAGTGACTTTAAATGTGGTTTCATGAGAAGACTGGTGGGCAGATGTATATGCAGTCTACTGGGTGCCTTTCTCATTAGTGCTGTTTTGGTTATTGTTGTTTTCAGTGGAAATTCATGAGAAAAGTCATTGAGGGAAAAAAAAGGAGCTGAAAGTGTCTGGTCCTCACCAATGTCCTAATGTAGAAGCTGTTCAACATATGTCGAGATCAAGCTACTACAGAAAAAGACTATAATATTGCCAATCTGTTGATAATTGTATTTAGAGAAGAAACATAATAATAAATGATCTAGTGGGACAGAGCCGTTTTGAATATTATCAGAAACACCCGTGACTTTCCTACAATGATGTGCCAAAATGTCTGCTGTGAAAAAAGGCTTGGGTTTCTCATTTCAGTTCCACAAAGAGAAGGTACTAGGCAGTAAAAAAGAGCCTGTACATCTATGCAGGTGTTTTCAGTTACCCTCGGCTTTTTAAGAGCTCGATCTGGTTCAAGTCAGGTGGGGGTCAGCTGGAAAACACAAATACTGACAACACACTGTACTGCAGCAGTGAGAAAAGTGTAAGTTGCTGAAACAAACAAAAGACAAATCTGTGAGAGAGCTGTCAATCATGCACAGTCCTGAGAGGAGCTCCAATCATGCAGGACGGACATTAGTGTTATTGTGCGTTCATGATGTGTCGGAATAATCTGGAAAAATGAGTTGTTCATGTGAATTCATGTGATCGCCATCTAAAGTCAGAACAAGTTGGAAAGTTGGGGAAACCTTTTGTAAACAAGCTGCTGACATCATCACAACCAATTAGCATCATATTTATAATCAGCTCTAAATAGTTAATGTGAACTTGTCAAATGTTTCTAATTAGTTAGGAACTAACACCAGACTTTTTAGGCAACAGATGTTTTTATGACTAAGGTTATGTCCGACAGAACTGATCCTTTTACTTTTACATTTATACAGCATATTTTGTTTGCAGCCTTTTTTCCACGTTTCCACTTCAAAAGCACATAAACACACCGAAGTCAGAACAACAACTTCACAACTCGAGGAAATGGCAGCTTCTCTGAAGCATGTGAATGCACGGTTAGCATAATGCTCCTACTGTCAGGAGGTAAAGGGCCAGGTAAAACTTCTGTTGAGTGGATACTGCTTTCTAGATAAAAAATAAAGGCTAGAAAGCAAATCATTAATGAACCTGGATCAATGAAAGCTATTGAATTCATACATTTTGTGCAAAAGGTCTTTTGATATTCTCATTACTTAGCATAAAAGTGTCACACAGACAAACTTCATTCCATTGTCTGAATGTGTCCCTGCTGCCGTCTACAAGTCTTTTTCTGTATCATTCAACATAAACAACATATTCTTGTGCTGAGAAGTAAGACGTCACTATTGAAACACAGCATGACAGAGAAATGCTCACACATTAAAGATTCTCTCTCTCCTTGTTTTACTGCAAACGTCGATAAAGCTGCCAAGTTCTCATTATAAAATTTGTGGTGTAACAGGAATTAACCAAACTGTGCTGTGTTGGGTCGTTGAATTTGGGCCTGGAGAGTCCTTGGAAGTAGTGGTATAGCCGACTTCTGTTCATTATTTCCTCTGTACTGGTGTGCACACAAATAAATGTGAGGTTGACGTTTTTTCTATGACCTGGCCGCATGCTTCCCTGTCATTGTATTTTGTGATACTCACCAGCAGAGGGCTCCAGCAGATGCACGAGGTGACCATGATGCCAACCAGCTGCACCACCATCTCTATGTCGTGGGACTTGGCCGAGCGATGGGAGCCGGGCTGCCTCCTGAGCCGTGCGAGCACCAGTGTCATTCCACTGATGGTGTTGCACACCAGCGCCACGGCGAGCGAGGTCAGACCGAGTCCAGAGAACAGCACCACGAATGCCACGTCCACCTCCTCAGTGTCACTGAGCACTTTAATGAAACACCAGGTCCCTGGGTCCTGGTAGGCGTAAGAGCCCAGGTGAAAGCAGGGCAGCATGGCCACACACAGAGCTGCCAGCCAGATGACGGACAGGCAGATCTTTGTGCGCGTTTTGGTGACCAGGGATGAGTGTAGCAAAGGCCTTGTGACACCCAGGCAGCGCTCAGCAGCCATGGCGCAGCCCATGAAGAGTGGGCACAGGCCAAAGAACACCATGCTGCCACCCAAGAACTGACACATGCCATCAGACTTGTCAAAGTCCTCTGGGCGCACACCTCCATGGAGATAGAGCCGCAGAACAAGGGCGCCAGGGATCACGTGGCCGACGAAATCTGTTACCACGAGTGAGGTGGCAAACAGAAGGAATGTGGCTTTGGAGCGCCGGCGTTGGAGGCAGTAGGCATTAGCCAGGATAAACAGGGCCACGATGTTGGAGATGATGCCCAGTGTCATGGACAATACGACAACGATGACGCCACTGGTGGTGGGCTGCACCAAGGTGAAGTTCCCCTGCTGCGACAGCCCTTCGACGGCCACCCGGGCCTCCACCCTCCCTCCACTGTCATTGGAGAAGTGAGGGAGGAGTGGGGAGGCTGAGGAGTTGTAGTGGCTCAGAGCTAACATCACTGATCTCTGAAGGTGCAGAGGTCCATAGTTAATCGAGGCTGCAAGACAAAGAAGAGGTACATTTGGTTTATGAACCGAATCAAAGTACAACTTTTACTGATTTGTGGATATTAAAAAAAATAAAGGTTACACATGTAGGTTCAAAAATCATTATCACACATCAGACAGAACGATTGGACGAGTGTGAAAAGTTTGAGAATCACATGTTATGACCTTCACAGTCACCAGGTAACTCTAATTTCACAATTTCCCTCCAGTAGAGTCCTGACATTTTATGACAAGGAGCAGGAAGCTTTTTTGAAAGCAAGATACTAGGTTATCAACCTTAGTGATAACCTGTTATTATCTATTATTTCAAACTGTAAACTTTGCAGATGAAAATCTAAGGTCCTCTTACAAGCAAGATTTAAAAGCAGAGACCTGACTAGATTTTTACTCTGCAAATTATCTTATAAATTCCAGCTGACCCTAACAACCAGCTGAAGCAAACACTTTTAAACAACCACAGAATCACAGAGAAGATGCGTCAATCACCACAACTGTCATGATGCAGAAAAGTTTGTCATTACTCAGGTTTAGTTACACTGGCTTTAAACAGTCATCACAACAACACACTATCTAAAAGCAGAATATGAATATAGTTGCAAAATATATATCAATATCAATACTTTAGCCTTTATCTCCTCACATCTGCTTTTGTTGTCTAAACTGATTTTACAATTGAGATTTTTCTTTTCCAACTTTATGTTTATTGGGCAATGTTAAACACACACACTTTAAAGTTTTTACAAAGTTTTTAAGATGTTGCTTCCATGTCTTTTTCCTCAACTTTAATCTAAACACATTTTCAAACTCAGTCGACCCGACGCATACACATCTTCACCTCAACCCTTGTCCCTCTGTACTTTCATCGTCTCAATTCTGTTGACAGCAGATTATAATCCAGGGAGGTGTTTTTATACAAGATAATATAAGCAATAAAACAAACAGAAACTCTCTTTTTTTTCGTAATTACAAAATATTAGCTGCTGATAATGTTTCTGAAAATAGTTATCATGAATCTAGTGTGATGCAGAAAATGTCTGGTTCTCCTGATTACAGGAAAAAAAAATCCATTATGCTTTTCCCTGTTCAATTTCTAATGAAGAAGTTTATCCATTCTCTTAATAAATTTGCATCCGTTTGCAGAATTACTATGCTGTTGTTTTTCACAGTATGAAAGAAACAACGAACAGGCAAGTTAAGATAATTAAAACTGGAAAAATCTTGTTTATCAGATTTATTATGAAATTGCAAAAATGCAGTTTAGTCTGCCAAGTTGTAGTTGCAAGAAATAAAGTCAACTTTATCCATTACATTTATTTATTATGAAGATTTATGACGGTTCAAGCTCACCCCTGCATAGCTGTGATATCCTCCTCGGTCCAGCTGAACATCCAAACAGAGGGTTTTTCCTTGTGGCACAGAAATCCAGAGATCCTCTCAGCACAAACCGTCCACACACACATGAGAAAATGTCTCGGTGTTTGGATCAGAAATCATGTTTCCCTCTGGTAAAGTGCAGCAGATCGACGTCCTGTGTGGGATAGGATCCATGTGTGAGTGTGTCCGGCTGCTGCATGGTGTCTTCAGGGTTGTACAAGAGTGAAAGAGATCCCCACTGACACTGAAACACAGAGGCATGTTTTTTTATAACACGTCTGTCTGCCGCCTTCAGGCTATGAGGGCGTCTCTGCTGCTGCTGCCTCATCAACCCCCCTCTCTCCCCCTCTGTGTCGCTGCCTTGTGTTTACATTAAAGTGTACAATCACTGAGCACTACATCTAATATTACTCACTTTTTATGGGTCACCTACACTTCCAAGAAATGATCTCAAACATTATATTAATAATATTATTCACAGAGCTAAAATTCACCAAGCTGCTTATATTGACCGACACTGCTGCAGATATCACAGACACAACTTTGCCTTTATTGTCCCCACATTGTTTGGATTTAAGCACTCGCTCATGAAACTGTTTTACAAGATCAGACTCTATGTGTGACTTCTGCTTGTTGTAGCCTACAATGGATCTGTGGTGAAGAGGTTTTGTGAAGCCCGGATTCCATGTGAACAGATTCCATTTCACAGCCGAGATTAAATGTCTTTTTTTTCTCACTGTTTAATTCTGTGCTCAAAATAACCTGGAGGTATCAGTTTACGGAAAGATCCAGCAGTCGTAATCAGGCTGCTGTGTTCCTATTCTCTGTATTCATGACTTCAGTGCAAGGGGGGGGTGAAGTTATCTAAAAAGTTTAGGTTGCCCTTGTGTTTTTGGTTTTTTTGAAAAAACAAACAGCTTCAAGTTTTGGAAACTCATTGGGATCAGTATGGAGAAGTGATATTCACCATCATGAAAGATCCAGATGTTTTTCAAGGACTCTGATATTAGTCCTGAGGGTTTTTGCAGCTGCATTATGGAAAACATGTCAATTTTTCTTCCTGCTGATTGACAGACTGAGAGGGAAAACCACGGCGAGGCATAATGTATCTCTGATTTTGGTTTCTTTTGCCGCATACTGGGGACAGGTGTTCGTGTTTGTTTTATTTTTTAAGAGGACCTGGCAGCCCAGCTGGACACATACTTGCACAAGTTGTGGTTTGGAAACGGGGGAAAGAGCAACATCCAAATATTGGCTGCTAGTTCACAGGAGCCAGAGTGGAGGTATAGGCACTGACACGTAAATTGGTTTACAAAACTTAGAAAGAATGACAACTGGAGGGTAGGTTTCACCGGCTGGCAACTCGGCTCTGCGTGATGGCGGTCTTTTGAAGGTAAATTGTAGGATTTCACAACATGTTAAAATATCAAAAATGTCTATTAGGGAAGTATTCATTTGTAAAATTGCAAAGGGCATCTGTTGTAGGTTAAAGGAGTGAGGTCTGCAAAAAGCATTTGACAGCAGCAGACGGTGAGCTGGGGTTCACCAAACACTGAGTGAAAACACACCTGGTGTGACACATAACCACTTTCAGGAGCTTTGACTCTTTACGAAACAAGAGTCCACAGCCATGCTCTCGGATCATAATGGCTGCTTAGGTGCAGGGGTGCATTGAGGTCAATGCTATTGTCTGCATGCATGTCACAATCTCAACATGCTGATGTTGGGCAGATGTTAGCTCAAGCTTCTACTCTGCTCTTGAGAAAAAGGGAGCGTCATTAGTTTTGCCGGATCTAATGTTGCCCAGCTGTTGTCTCCAGAGGAAAAGTCAGGGGGGCCACTAAAGAGGATTATCTTCTGAAAATCTATAAAAGAATTAAATAAATAAAGCCGATCAGACCTGCAGCTGTAAAAATATGTCAGTGCAAACCCAAACTCTGGGGCCACCTTGGTAGTGGGGGTATTTAGGTTCTAACCATGAACCACCTGGCTTCTGTTCATCTGATGACCTTTTTCTTGTTCATCCCTCTTTTTTTCTCTCTCTTCCTTTCTCTCCCTCACCTTATTTGACTGCTGACACTCTGACAAACTCAAAATGTAAAGGGAAAAAAAGCCTCAAAGTCATAAAGGTTTAAAATGCCACAAAGGTCTTTCAAACTAAACAAAATAGTCGACCTGGTGGTGCTAGGGGAGGAGTAAAAGGGTTTAAGTCGGTGGGATTCACCCTATGGGGATAATGAATGTCTTCATTACAGCATGGAGGACCATTCAGATATCAGAGTCAGAATATTTTAGTCAGGACCAATAAAGAGAACTGACAGATTGAAATACCCTCCATAGAACCATACTAAGAGTGTTCTTAGTTCTTATAGCATGATTAAAAAAGGAAAGAGGATGTGGTGTTACCACCTAAATAATTGATTACTTCCCCCTGTTTGTCCGACTCTAAGCAGGAATACACAAAAAACAGATTTTCTTGAAACTTGGTGGAAGGGTGGGGTTGGATCCAAGGAAGAACCCACTTGGAGCAGATTCAATTAAGGGAAGAGATCTTTATGACGAAAGTCAGATAGGTAAAGTGATAATATCTATGACTAGCTAGAATTTAGTGAGGATCTGAATAATGATCTAGATTTTGTGGATTTGTGATCTACATTCAGTCACTGTACAGGATCAACCTTTCTAAAATGTATATCTGAGAATGTCTGTGTACTTAGTTTGTGTATCTGATCTTAAATGTTTATGCAATGCAGTGGCAAATCAGTCACCAGGCAGAGGTGTTCGCTCCCCGAGGAGTGCCTTTCTAGTTTCGTCAGTTTATGTGTCTGATTGTTTGTTAGCAGGATTACGAAAAAACTACTAAACCAATTTCCCCCACCCCCCAGTGCCCACGTAGACTCTTAAGTGCAACAATCAAGTGTTTGGCCACCATGTGTGTTAATCCTCTCTCTCTGAAAGGAGAACCTTTTTCCTCATCAATTGCTCTTACAAATGGTGCCATTTGGCCTCTACAGATGACTGGCTCTTCCAATATCAAGTCTGGGGTTTATGGGTTTGAGGTTCTTCTACACCCTTCCCCTCTCATTGACCACAGAGTGAAAAAACAACAACCCGCTGACTGCATACCTGATGATCTTAGGAGCCCTCTGAGATGGAAGAGCCCTTCGGCCTGGAAAAGTTTACAGTAAGATGTCTATCTTTTCTCGAGATGGAACTGTAACATTGAAGGAAAAGCATCATAGGTTTTCCTGTTGCACGTGCACACAAGTATTCTGACTTGCTTCGGACTCCAAACTCCCCCACCACAACCGTTTAACGGTTCCTCTCATCGGCCATTTTGCCAAAGCTTTCTGCAGAGCACATGCCTGTATGTCAGAGAGATTGAGTATTTCTTTACATGTGAGAAGCTTTGAAGCAGAGAGGAGTTTTGGTTTGCCAGTCACTATAATCTCTACTACCTGAAATATTACCCTTTTTATGACTGCAAGCAAAATCAGTCCTGGGACAATAGTTTTCACAACTGCAATGTGCTACTTTCAATAAAACAATATGACATCATATGAATGCTTGCAGTGTGGCAAGGGTAACCACGGGGTCATTGGCTTGTGCATTCCTCACTGTCATTTTAGGGAAATGCTGGCTATTACCAGTGGAAAGCCACACGCTATCAGTCTGGGCGCCTTAGGAACTACTGGCCAAAACTGAAACAGTGGAATGCTCGCCTGAGAATATTCATCAGCGTGTAGAGGAGACAAACAAGCTGTCAAAGACAGAAACAAATTTAGCTACTTTTCCCTGATGAAACGCACACTCTCCTCGGAGTGCAAATTGTTTAAAAACTGCTGTCTGGCTGCAGCCCAGAGGTCATTTCTAATATTCAGTTACTGTTTCGCACACTGTGCTGTTTGGTGAGAGGGTGTGCTTACTGTGCCAAAAGAAATAGCAAAATCATAATACAGTGAAATCCACAAATACTCATAGTTGTCCTTCATTCTGGGCAACGCACAACGAGATGTTTATCACGGCTTATTTTCCTGTCTCCAGACAGTAACACATTAAAATGTATTCATTTTAATCTGTGTTCTTTGGATTGTTACCCAAGAGGCAATGGAGTCACAGTGCCTTCTTAAAAATGATTATGTTACATCAGCTTCAACAAGAAATACATGTTCATGACATGACAAGAGCAAGTTCTTTCAGTGTGAGAGCAGGACTTATTGTTTTAACGTTCATATTTTGTAGGCCTGCGCTCTCACTCTAATAGCCCCTGCCTGTGTGTAGATTTGCATTGCTTGTTCTAAAACTGTGCGTTTGCACTTCTGTTTTGTTGCTTGACAGATTTCCTGCTCTCTAGCTTCAGCTCTTCTCCTCCCCTTTCTCCAACATTTTGCTTCTGTCCGTGTTGGACACGTTTCTCAGATTGCTCCTCTGCAGTCTGTCAAAATTCCCCAACCAAAAGAATGCCAGGTGTAGTGAAGCACACAGAGCAAAGCAGAGAGGTGTGTGGAGTGTAAGCGCATTTTTAGTGAAGCATTATAAAATCTGAACATGAAATCAAGAAGTTCTGCTCTCAAACTAAAAGAACACGCTCTTAAACAAAGATTGGGAAAACCTCACACACCTAAGGCTCCTATACTTTGTGTTTTTGGAGAGACGGATACAAATGAACAGGAAGATTTATTCGATCTCAACTCGCTGTCCTGTGTTGACACCATAGACCGTGTTTAAGAGGTTGACACATGCAAGTGAATATTTACAAGTGCATTTGAGTGTTTATATGGATACGCTTCAGTAGTCTGATCTGTTCAGCTTGTCTTTCTAAAACAACACAGACTGATCTGACATGATGTGAAATAAAACAAAAAGGCCTCCATGTAAAGTTACAAATTGACGTCTCACACTCAAGATCCTTGAGTACCTTGAAATTATTCGGAGTCTATGTTTTATTTAGACCTTGCAGAAGCCTATCCAGACCAAATATTTTCTCTTGCTGCCGTTTTTGCTGCGCTTTTGGCTTTGAATGGTTGTGCTTTTCCAAATTATGACATTAAGCAACGTAATCAGAGAAATACTTCTTGGGAAACCTAGAAGTCAAAATTTCACTTATCCAGCAAAATATCTCAACATCTAATTGGCTGACTGACACAGATTTTTGAGCAGGCACCAAAGGAGCCTGTCAGATGGTTGACAGGCAGCTTTCCAATGTCAGAACTGGGCTGTGTGTCCGACAGT